GAAGTGTTGTCGACCGAATAACGAGATTCCGCGACCTACCTAAAATTTCCTGGATACACCACTAGATATGCTCGGTAGTACCACTGCGTCCGCATGGATCGATGGGTTCCGTGATGTTGTCTCCGTGGGGCAGACGGATGGGATAAGAGGCTGGACTGCTGAAACCGAAACATCTCTCGGCAATGAATGCTGGACTGAACGATCCCTTGGGCATATCCTAATGATTAAGGGGCAGGAGTGCGCATTCTTCTTAAAGCTGATGTTAAGAGCCGCTATTCGTTTCGCAGACACTGATTCCCTTGAAATAGAGAAACTATGAACCTAGCGTCTTCTGATTTTCACAAGAGGATCTGAGCGACTACTCTAGCAGCCCGGTGCGGCAGTTATACCTCTCCCTTGGAGGAACCAAACACTGCTGGTGTAAGAGACAACCAAAGACCGACTGTTGTATGCTTGACTAAAAAGATGTCTTAGTAATGTCCGTTGCTTTTCAGAGGCATTAACGACAGTGGCTGAAACGACGACCTCTGACTTACTTTTCGTAGCCAACCAGCCATAGTCCAACAACAGGCCGGAATGAACAGAAGTATTAATCAGGGCTCAGAAAATGAAAACCACCCCTACTCTGTGGCCTACAATCAGGACAAATCGGTGCACGTGGGTCTCATATGATTCCGGCGCCTTTGGACAGGAAAGCCCTACATAACTGATTCTGTGGCCAGTACGACAAGCTCACATTTCCGATCAACCCTCGCCAGGCCTCTTGCCAATTGATATGTGGACGGATATTATACGCGAATTTGTCTCGCCACGTTTCCCAAACGGACACATGTTTCGCCGATTTCCTGCGGCAGCATGGCTCAGTTTGAGGCGCTCGGGCAATCAGTGGCATTTTCCAAGTGACTACTAGTATGGATGAAAACTTAAATGCTAGCATTGTGACGACCGTCGCAAGTGACGACGTCCTCTGGGCGTGGCACTGGTGACTTGCGCGTGAGTTAGTTTATAGTGGGGAAGACTTGTGCAACACGCGGCGCACTGATATCTTCCTCCCACCCACTGTGCTGTGATAGCAGGACAACGTCAAAACGACCGGAGGTGGGCAGAAGGGCGCAGCGGTTGACAGAACTGGACAGCCTGTCCACGCGTACCACACACGAACTCGTGCCAGGCATCTGCAAGTGCGTCCCGGATCTCAAATGCGTGGGAGTGCCCCATCAATTTTCCAGTTTAGTCGTTGAAACCAAGACGGCTTCGAGGGTCTGCGTGAAGATTCAAATTAAGTCCAGTCAACTACATGCGGTAAGCCCCATTTAGAACTCTGCTGGAAACCAGTTTAGTCTACAGCGGTACCCTACCCTCTCGCTCTGGGAGGAAGCATGACGTACAGAGGTTACGCAGTACACAGACTTTCGAAATTCAGAAAAGCTGGTCCTATGAGGTAAGTGGACATATACGAGGTGAGGTAATAGTAGACGGTCGACAGTCGAAAATTGTTGTACATACATCCAAAGAGGCGGATGAGATCACTGAGTTGCCATGGTATAAACCTAGCCACGAGTGCCATAAAGGACTCAATTTTAGATGTGCGGCAGTTCAGGTGGGCGCGATGCAGAGGCGAGGTCCAACCGAGCCAACTTCCGAGTTCACCAGAGGCTTGCACATCGGTGAACACCTAAAACTAGATATAATCACTGACAGCCGACAGTCGTTCACTGCACTTTTTAGTTCGCTCCCCAGGAACCTCTGACAGATAGCACGACTGAACAGTCTGTCAACGAACATAGAACGTTAGATTCTGTAGTTTCAGTGTCACACTTCGCAATGGATCAACATTTGGCTTGACGTCAAATTGGGGTTAGGTTGGACACCTGTTCTACTCTTTACACGGATTCTAGATAGAACTCTTAGCCGTGCTGAAGATGTCGAGCTCGGGCCTAAACGCCAACTATCTGTGATGACCCTGTTGACACCAGGCATTGTCCCCCAAAACGGCCCACGCCGTGGAGGCACTGGACCTGCACAAGGGTCACATTGGATTCTGGCAGGCGTTATTGAAATGAGCTCCACAAAAATGCAAATATTCGGTGTGGTGGCAGGCCCAGCTGGTGGGGCCCACTCCGCCCCCCCCCCATTTTGGCTGTTGGTTAAAATCCTGATCATGTTTGCCGTGGACCAGGTGTGGTGTTACGTCTGGGTGCAGGTTCGGCCGTGCCAGAAACCTGCACCTTCCACTGCCTGCGGTCTTTTCGACTATCTCGACACCACGCCCAGGCAGGGGTAAGAGGAGAGTGAGATAGATGTTGGCTCCGACAGCGTCGGGAGTCTACCTGAGGCCATTTGTAGGGGAAATCGTTTAGACACGTCCTCTGTCCGATGAGCTTAGTAGGACTGTCCTCAATCAAGGCAAAAAGCAGGCGTAGAGGCACTCGCTCCATGGCTGCAATCGCACATGACCAGACTGGCCTAGGTCATGCTGCATAGGACGTCCGACCCACTTTCTTTCCCGACGAACAGCGGATACCAAGAACCACCCGGAGAATATGACAGCATGTGGTGAGTCAGATTTTGCAATGGTCGCCACGACCCCCCATTTGGCTACCGGAAATAGGGCAGAGTTGAATTGGAAGCAACATCATTAACTTCATGTGACGGATGATGCGCCAGAATTCCTCCGACTTCATCAGCTATCCTGTGGTATCGTAGTGGGGCTGTTGCGGGGAGCGCATACAACCTAATTTGAAACCGAACCTGTAAAGCACTCGAAGGACAGCTATCAAGCCGAGGTGATCTACGAACGCCAGCTGAGTTTTTCGATCTTCCCCGACAAGCATCCACAATAGGAAGGGACTAACAGATTCCATGTGTGTGCGGACCTTCATGATGCTCGAAGCACCACAACAGGACTGCGACGGCTGAAAATACGGGCAGAATTTACTCTGACTTGATGTTATTCCTACTCTCAGGCTATTAATTGGCTTCACCGCTTTACCTTCACGTATACGGCAGGCAGTAGAGGTCAACCCCCTCTCCCCATAAAAATACAACCAAAGCAAACCAGTTTTTGCAGCGTAGATTAATATACATCAGCAGATTCGGCAAAACGGAGACGGTTCCCGCGGCTAAATAAGCGTGTCCGAACTGACTTGTACCGCTGCTCAGCCTCAACACCGTCCGAGAACGGCGGACGCAGTATGCGAACCCACTCGAGACAAAAACCAGGTCATTGCGTAATGCGGATTTTGTGGGTGCGGCTTAAAGACTGGAGAGCGCGGTAGTAGGTATACATTGTGGCAAACAATAAGGTGGCATATTGCGTCCTCGCGCTAAATTCCTCCACAGCTTCTTACAAATCAGCGTACGTACAGGGAACTCGACCCCCGAGGAATTATGAGGGTATTGAAATATCTTACACTTCAAGCAAAAAATTGGGCACTTTTCACAGTAACCCCACATCTTTATTTCCACAAAAACGTAGTAACGCGAGCGCGGAAGCGTCGACTACAAGGCGAGGACCCAACGCCACGATGGGCTGGCTATGTTCCCCAAGTGGGGTCGCACACTCCGTCCCTGCCAAGAGGTAACTTTGCGACCGACAGACACTTCATACTTCACCAACGCGCGATGTGAGACGACCCTCAGCAGCTATTGGCAATTGAAGAATTCGACAAAGCGTACCTAGTCGGTCCAGGCCCCATGGCAAGGCCACATTCCGGGTTTGGCAAGCTAGCCCTCGGACAACTACACCAAGCATTTGACGCTGGATAAATCTGCCCGCAGTCACCGCCCTCTACGCGCGTGTCAGGCAGGCAAAAATACAGGTCTGCCAAACCGTCCAAATCCACACGCAAATCAACGGGGACTTAGCTCCTAGGTTCAATTTCGATCTCACGCCTTGGTCCACTAAATCATAATAGTTAAACATGTTTTTGAGTTTCTGTGTCCAGCCTACTGCAAATTCTGCTGCTTCCGGTCCGTCGTGTACCTTCATCAATGTACGATGACCTGGTGGGAGATTTGCGTGGAACGTCTGATCTTTAATAGGACATCGCTGCTAGTGCCAGAGCCAAAAACTCCAGGGTTTATTGTGGGACCACCAAATCCAATATGAAGTGCCACGGACTTGAAATGTAGCATAGGTACACCGCGGCTCTCGACCATCTGTATACACATTCAACGGTTCCGTCCTGACTTTGCTGAGCCTAACCTAGGTACGTAAAGATGGTCTGGAACAAAAAACTAACCCCAATTGTTCCCATGAGTACACGAGGCGTTGAGGCCTGATTAATTGCACGTTTCAATGCGCACTTCTACCTCGCGAATGTCATGGCTGGCATCGCCCTTGATCAGTGGACAGGAAACAAGTAGAAAGATGAACAGTAGTTGCATCAGAACGTATTAAATTATCGCAAAGCAGGTGTATACAAAGCGCGCGTACTGCGTTATCTCAGGCTAAGGACCTAACAAACTCGCGCTTGAGCTTTATTATAGGAAAACGGTGATAGAAATGCAGAGATGGCATGCAAAATTCGGCAAAACAGTGCAACCATGGGCTTCGATAGGGTAATCTGACTGACTTTAGTCATCGTATGAGGAACGTAGAACATTCGGAATACGGTAAGGGATGGCGCCTACCGAATGAGGGCATAAATGACGCGCAGAACGTGGTAAACAACAATCAACGTTAGCAATTAACAAGTATACAAATAACTTATCTGGAGTCTGGAAAAATTATGAACCGCACGATGACACCAGTGGGGGAGCAGCGAAAATGTCTGCAGTGTCTTCAGTATACAACAGACAGTAAACGGTGTAAAAGGTCCAAACGGGACATCCACGGGGTAGGGATTAAACACAATGCAGGTGAACACGAGCGCCGACTAGTGTACACATGTGGTTCAGTTGTGACAAAATGCCGAGCATTGCGGAAACTATGCTGCAGATCCTCGACCGGATAGTTAGGACGGAGGGAGCTTAGACCGGAATAGGACAGACGGCAATTAGTGAGTTGCTTCTACATTCTGCGGCTCAACTTCGTCCGTTTTTTCATGAGAAACGGACACGGCATCCGCCATAGTGGCTTCAGGGGGAGCATCACTGTGAAGTTTCTCCTTGCCTAAAATAACAAAGACGCGGTGAAGAGATAGATGCCCAAAGGCCAAGAAATGCCCAGCACGTGAGTAGATACAAAAAAAAACTAACCGTCGTTTTGGGCGATTCCGTCAATTCCGTTTGAATCGTTGCATTGATGCTTTTCGGACGGAAGAACCTTGGCTTCCGGAATGGTCTGATTGTGTGTCTCAGTAGCAGGTGTCTCGCTGGTGGAGTGTCCGTGGTCGTTGTTAGTAATGGCGACCTCGGGGGCGTCGGCGGGTGGGACGTCGTCTTTTGAAACTTGGACAAAATTAACGAGCAGCTGTCCATCTTCCCCTTGAGCGGAAACCGCGTCACGAACTTCCTCACTATCGGGTTTAGGGACTGATTCCTTGTCAATAACTTCGAAACCGGGCTCCTCTATGTGAGCGTTCTCCTTCGCGGAAGCTAAAGATCAGAGGGATAGCTGAGAACTGACAGTGATTATACCCCTGCAACACTATGAGCAACGCGTAGAAGCACCTGTTGCAAGCATAATTTTGAAATGTGGCCCTCACCAGGTAGCCTATAAGACGCAGTTGGTCCTGGTAAAAGCTTCTGCTGTGAGCACTTTGTTAGTCTGTGGTTTTTTACGATTGGTTGAATCTTATAAATGCCCGTTATGTATAATCTACCCGTCAGTTCGTTCTCGAGTGGCGTCAAAAGCGCCAAAGACGCACGCATACTCCAACTGTACTCGCCGACCCGAGTCACTTCGGTTGGAGGACTGCTCAGACTTCCTAGGTGTGTCGCTTTCTGCATTCAGCGATCGGCGGAGCAACAGAGCCTGCATGCTTATGCGTGCACTCCATGGATTTCGTGCTGTGCCAAACGCGATAGAAAGTGACGGTAAGATGCATAGGACCCCACGATCCGATAAGGAGACATGGGAAACAGACTACCTGGAACTTTCCCTTTAACGAATGCATCAGCCAACCAGATATCCAACCACGGATTGAGCAAAAATAGAACCCGCTAGCGCAATGTTGCCAGGGCCGTCTTCTTGCAAGATCTGAGTAGCAGGCAACCCTACTAGACTCCAACACCATTAAGTAAGAATAGGTTAGAGTCAACTTGAAAAAGTGAAATACAGGGCGGGTCGATGCGAGACAGGGCACTGTTCAGGTTTTAATACTTAGGCACATGGAAACGTGGCACGCTGCGAATTGTAAGAACACAAATCCGTGAGGAAAGGGACGACCTAGGCTGGATCAGCCTTGGTCACAGTCGTGTCAGGAAAAAACTCACAGGGATCTTCTTTGGCAACGTCCTTCTCATCAACAGCTACTGCTTTGCCTTCGGTGTGATCGGCGTGGTCCGGCTGAGAGGGTGCCTCGCCTAAGCAATCAGGACGTAATAATCATGGGGTACCTTCTACTTTTGCTTTCTTTGTGGCTGGTTCGAGCGCGACCTCCGCATCACCCGATTTCTCGACGGGTACCTCTTGAGTACCATTAGCGTCGACTTTATCTTCGACGGAAGGCGGCGGGGCATCCTCAACGACTTTCTAATACAATAATGGAGACGTATGAAAATTCACCTTAGACGCCCGCTTGGGTGTGGGTTTTTTAGCAGGTGAAGGGGAGGCAGACGGGGGTTTGTTACTCTGGGCGGCCGCTATCCGGGCGCTCGCTCGCCTGGGGGCCGGGCTTTCACCACTACCAGCAGAACTACGGCGAGGCATGGTCGACTTTCAATGGCTAGTGGGTTTAAAAAAGTAACTTATGAAAACAAACAGTAAATGACGACAAATCTACTACGTAAGCAATTATTGTGGGTGGCAAAAGTGCGATAAAAAGGAAAGTACATCACGCTTAACGATTACGCGCAGAGCGGGATGTGTGACTAATTTGCAGTGATTCAAACAAAGTTTTTTAACTGACGCATATGGACAGCAAAGAATAAAGCTTTTTATCTGCAAACGAGGAGCTTGAAGTAATTATTTTATTTTTTTCCACAAACCATTGGATGAATGAGTAACTTTCACAATCTGCCCTAGAAACCTCTTTTTGATTCCAAGGTCCAGAGGGGTAAAGGTCTTCAATTCGAGGACCACAGACCTGATCATACAGATCTATGATTGATACGGCATATTTCTGCAGGAGAATAAAGGTTTGACATAAGTTTACTGTAGGCCAGAGGGCCTAACAGCAATATTATCAGTGAGAATTAAGGGCTTTTTCACGTTCAGCTCTGCTTGATGGTCTCCCAACATTCCAACAGTTCCCAAGAGCTACATAAACTCTTTAGAAGCAAATCCGTTAATTCACAGTTAAACGACACAAAACCAGCCCGTAGCTTTATTGCGGGCATTAGTGAGTTTAGTGGGCACACATTATTTGCAAAGAGTAATATGCAGGTGCATATGCCACAGAAAATGGTTGAGAGACAAATAGAAAATAATAGAAGTTCGTGAGAGTAGAAAACCAAATGGACGGTCGAAAGAAAACGCAAGGGTTCATTACGACTCGGAAAATGCCAGGTAGCGGCTCAAAATTCAAGGAAATACATGAGGGATACACAACAGTGACGAAATATCAAATAAGAGCGAAAGACAAAAAACTTGAAAAATACAGTAGTTACATAACCGTAAAACTAGTTAGATTGCTCATACGTGTGTGGGCCTCATATATGAGGAACGTTTCTAATAATTTTTTTCCAAAATATCAACAATATCTATATACATGAAGTGGTACACACATCTTGGGATGTTTTCCGTCGGTCTCTAACAGCTGAAAAAGCCTTGGAAGTGGGCAGCATTCATTCTTTACTCCCCTTGATTTTTACGAATTATCTATAGGTCTATGAAATATGGCACCTGCAGCTGCCACAACTATTTTACAGGGTTGGTAATTAACCAATTGAAATCTAACGTGGTATGTGTCCTATGCCACAACGTTCGTTGTCGTCAGTATCATGGTGGCAGGCGAACAGAATGGGATCGACTGAGATCCTAACCACAATTGCTGTCTGTGAATTGGGACCAATTACTCAGGGGAGATCCGGAGGACGAATGGAGATCTTTTAAGACGATTTCACTCGGTCTAATTCAGCGCTGTTGTCCACCTAAAGTACAAAAAACAAATAGTCGACCTGCTTGACTAACTAGGGGCCTAAATAGGCAGCTACGGAAGAAAAGCAAAAGATGGAAAATATTTAGGGAAACTGCGTCACCAGCGCATTTCGAAGAATTTCGTCGTCAACGAAATGCAGTCAAAAAATGTGTCCGTCAGGCACGGAAGGAGTATGAATCCAAAATTATTCGACAGGCTGAACAGAAGCACAAGATTTTATTTCACTATTTTAACAGTAGACTGAAAAATAAGGACCCGGTCGCGGTGCTGAAGGGTGATAATGGTGTAGAGATCATTGAGAACAGCCAGAAAGCCGAACAAGTAGGACAGTATTTTGCCTCGGTTTTTACTAGAGAAACAGAGTTTCGCAGTCGCACTGCCAGCCATGCTGTCGAGACTGCTGGTCCCGTGCTTGACTCCATGCTCTTCCCGACAGCTGTCGTGGAAAGGGAGCTGCAAAATCTTAAAGAAGCAAAGCCCTCGGGTCCGGGCAGTATACCGGCCAAATTCTTGAAAGAATTGGCGAATGAACTCTCCAAACCACTGGCACATATCTTCCACTCGTCATTCGAATATGGGAGACTGCCACTGGAATGTAAGACGGCAAATATCTTTCCGATATACAAGGGCGGGGCTCGCACTAATGCTAACAATTACCGGCCTGTTAGTCTAACCTGCATCTGCTGTAAAATAATGGAGGCCATAGTTAAGAAAACAACAATGAAGTTCCCGGAGCAGGGCCATTTACTCTCAGATATGCAGCACGCCTCCAGACAGAACCGCTTGTACCGTTTCAGTTCATTGCTCTCCACGGAGCAATGGACTCGCGCAGTGGACGAGGATGGTAGGGTCAATGTCCTTCACACGGACTTCAAGAAGACTTTCGACAGCGTCCCACACAAACGTCTAATCTACAAACTTTCTGAAAATGGGATAAGAGGAAAGCTGCTGACATGGATAACAGATTTTTTTACGGGGAGATCGCAAACCGTGTGCATTGAGGCCTCAAGGTCAACTCCTACCGCCGTTCTAAGTGGTGTACCCCAGGGCTCCGTCTTAGGGCCGTTGCTATTCCTGGTTTACATTAACGACTGCGTCGACGACCTGGGTTGCAGCGCCATCATGCTTGCTGACGTTGTTAAGCAGTGGAGACCCATCAGATCTGACGCAGACAGGTACGCGCTTCAAGACAGTCTCAACCTCCTGAACAGTTGGTGAGCTCGTTGGCTCATTGATTTTAATGTGGACAAATGTGTGGTCTTGAGACTCCGCACCAAAATGACCAGTAAGGAACAGGATTCCTTTCAATCCGTCCTTGGTGGTCAGACCCTTTCAAATGTGGTGGAACAGAAAGACCTGGGCGTCCTAATGACCACTTCGCTGAAACCATCATCACAGTGTCAAAGAGCAGCCAAAAGTGCGATAAGGATGTTATCTGCGCTGAGGCTCAGATTTGTGCAGATCGATAAAGAGCTGTTAAGAAAAACATAGGGGGCATTCGTCTGCTCTCACTTAGAGTATGAAGTACAGGCATGGCGACCGTGGTTGAAAAAAGATTATCAAAGACTGGAAAGAGTACAAGCGATGGCTAGGAAGACGGTCAAGAATGAAGGCAAAATGTCGAGTTCCAGGTGTATGCATATTTTAAGAAGAAGAGTCGAGCACCGGAACAATTCGTTTATTATCCTGAGCTTTCAGACTCGTGCAGGAGTCCATCGTCAGAGTTAGTGGCAGAAACAGGACAAGCGGCAGTTATAAGGCACGTTGACCCAATCATCGACCGACATCGCACGACTGGAGGTGACTACGAAGGGCTCTGTAGGCCGGCACCAGATCGATAAATCGATTGACTGAGTTCTCATCCGAGGCCCAGGCTTCAATCAATTCTCGGCCTGTTTTGTTTCCGGTGTGGGCGACTATTTTGGTGGCTGCGAAGTCAAACTCGTGACCCATTTCGTAGGTGTGGGCGGCCACTTGTGATAATGCGTCGCCTCGCCGCACAGCCAGCTTATGTTCATGTATGCGCGATCCGAGCATGCGTCCAGTCTGTCCTGTGTAGTTACAAGGACAATTTTGACACGAAATGCGATACACTACTCCAGATTGCTCTTCAGGTTGTAACCGGTCTTTGATTTTCATGACCCTGTTGCGCATGGTGGCTTTGGGGCGGTGTGCAATTCCAACACCTAGCTCCGCAGCAATGCGCTCGGTCGCTTCTGAAACACCCTTGATGTATGGCAGAGAATGCCATATCGCCGGTGGCGTTGATGTTTGAGTTCTCTGGTGGCGACCGCGTAGGCAGCGACTTATGAATGCCCTCGGATAGCCATTTTGCACAAACTGGTCGCGGAGATAACGGGACTCACGCGCTCTATCTTCCAGTTTGCTGCAATGAGTTTGGATCCGTTTGAAGAGCGTCTTCATACAGCTTCGTTTGTGAGCCACCGGATGGTTGCTGTGAAAACTGAGAAGCTGTGTGGTGTTCGTTGCCTTCCTGTAAACCGTCGTTTCAAGTTCACCGTTAAGGTTTCGTCTGACGAGCACATCCAGGAAGGGCAACTGCTGTTCCTGTTCTTCTTCCCTCGTGAATTTTATATCCGGGAAGACTGCGTTGAGCAAGCTGTGAAAATGTTGCAGCATGTCCTTTTTTACGATGACAAACGTGTCGTCAACGTAACGTCGCCAAAACACCGGTTCATGTTGGAGGAAGGCAATCTTTTCTAACTCCTGTAGGATCAGTTCTGCCACCAAACCGGAGACCGGTGAGCCCATTGGGGTTCCCTTGATTTGTTCATACGTCTCTCCCGCAAAAGTGAAGAAAGTTTGTTGGCAGAATTCAAACAGCCTCATGAGGTGTTCAATTTTGAGGGCATTCTGAGTCTCATCGTATGCCTCTTCAAGTCTCTTGTGCAAGACTTCGCGGGCCACGTTTGGTGGGATGGATGTGAATAACGATGTCACATCGAAGGAGACCATGATTTCGTCCGATTGAATTCTCCGACCTCGGAGGTCTATGAGGAATTGAGGGGCTGATCGAACTGATGTAGTCGAATTGCCTTGGAGGAACTTCAGTTTTGAGTACATCCACTTTGCCAAATTGTAGGTGGGGCTGCCTTTTAGGGCAACGATTGGCCGAAGTGGGAAATTTGCTTTATGGATTTTTGACAGACCGTAGAATCGGGCTGGAGCGGTGTCAGTTGCCCTCATTTGGTGCCATTCATTCTCCGTGATCACATTTTTATGTCGGTATTCTCTAAGCAGTTTACTCAGCCGATCTGCCACTGCTTTGGCTTGTGACTTCTGTGCTGGCCTGTAAAATCCTCTGTCATCAAGAAGGGCTTTCGCTTTTTCATTATAGTCTTCTCTATTCAGCACGACGGTTGATCGTCCCTTGTCAGCAGGTAGAATGATAATGCTGTCGCCCCTCCTCAGTTCCCTCATAGCCTTTGACTAACTCTGCGACCGATCGCATTGCTGCGGAGCTAGGTGTTGTAGGTGTTGCATTGATTTCGCGTGTCAGCGCTTTAACAGGGTTGTTGGCCTTGTTGGCCTTGGAGAACTCAGGTGCAATAACACCGACCGACAGACGCATGGCGAGACCCCAAGATACGGCTTTGGTCCGATTCTATGGCCTCCCTAAGGTGCACAAAGACGGCGCTCCTCTCCGACCCATCGTGTCGCTCAAAGGTACTCCAACGTACGGACTGGCTAAGTGGCTGTTCCGGCGTCTCAAGTTCCTGACCGCTGAGTCAGACACCACGGTCTCTTCGTCAGCAGAATTCCTGGAGAAACTCAAAGGGGTAAGCCTCCATCCAAATGAGGTCATGGTGTCTTTTGATGTTACATCCCTTTTTACTTCTATTCCCCAGGACCTGGCGATCGACACAATCGAGCTTCTTCTGCAAAGCAAATACGATGAAACGGAGAATCGTCTTGGACGCGCCCAAGTCCTTCAGCTCCTGAAGTTCTGTCTCAGGACGTACTTCACGTTCGACGGGACAATCTACGAACAGGTGAAGGGCACACCAATGGGTTCGCCGATTTCGGGATTCATCGCCGAGGCGGTCCTGCAACGGTTAGAGTCGATGGTCTTCCAACACCACAAACCGACGTTCTGGGCCCGGTATGTGGATGATACCTTCGTCGTTATCGATCGGGATCAACTGCTGACATTCAAGGAACGTCTGAATGCGGTCTTCCCGGACATACAATTTACGATGGAGGAGGAAGAGAACAACCAGCTGGCCTTCCTGGATGTCCTCGTATGCCGCAAGGATTGTGGTGGACTAAAGACCAAAGTGTTCAGGAAAGCGACAAATACGATGCAAGTACTGAACTTCAACAGTAACCACCCAATCAGCCACAAACGCAGTTGTGTAAGGACGCTCTTTCGGCGTGTCGAAACGCACTGCAGTGAGCCGGAAGACAAAATTGCTGAACTACAATACCTCCGACGGGTATTCAAAGCCAATGGCTACCCGAGCAACTTTGTCAACCGGTGCATACGCAAAATGGACGAAAGGCCTAACCGCAGGGACACCAAAGTTTGGCGAGCGCTTCCATATGTCAAGAACGTTTCGGAAGCTGTTGGCCGCCTTCTCGCACCGCCGGGGGTTGGAGTTGCACACAGGCCAGAGGCAACCCTCAGGCGTCAACTGATGAAACCAAAAGACCCACTGCCACGGCAAGAAACGTCTGGAGTCGTTTATCGGATCTGGTGCAGTTGCGGACAAAGCAACTACGTCGGAGAAACCGGAAGACAGCTCCGAACGCGAATGGCCGAACACGCTGCAGCAGTGCGGCGAAATGACGCCAGCTCTCAAGTTGCGGCTCATTCGACGGGTTCCGGCCACACATTCAAATTTGACGAGGCCGAAATTCTCGCAAGAGGTGACAACCGCGTGAGCCGGGAGCTGCTTGAGTCATGGTTCACTGGCCCCCAGTCTGTTAACAAGTGCAATGATCTTCCCATTCAATACAGCGTGCTGAGACTTCGTCTAGGCGGAGAAATTGGCCACGCGGGGAGCGCCCTGATGAACACTCTTCCCAACACCCGGGTCAGCGCGTCAGATGGTTGAGCAATCATCACACCAACATCCAACGCACGTGATGAAATCGCAGCAATTAACGACGCGAATATCGACCATCACGCCACGAGCAACGATCCCTGATGAAGGGGAGGGAGCCGTGAACATTCATAGGTATGCGGTGGCATGGCTACGGCATCCTATAAATACTGCAGCCACATGTGCATGAACCACCCTTATCTGCTTATGTCTCTGATGATGGATTCGAGCAGGAATCCGAAACGTCAGGCTAATAAAGCTCTTGTCCCGGCGATCGTATCTTCTTCTTCAAGACTGCTTCCTGGGACTCGTCTTTTCGTTTCTATTGGACTGACATTATTGGAGAAGAAAACCCTCGCTCCTAAATGTATAAAAAGCAGGCAGGACCGGCCTGTATGTGAAAGTGTATAACGGATTTCATGACTCTACGAGATTAAAACGAAACTCAGCTAGTCCTCCTACTCAAAAACATTACTGCTTAAGCCATCGCAGCCGACCACCACAAAACATGAAGACGAAAGAACGGTTATTAATTCGATTACGCATCAGGAGAACCTGCTTATATGAATAAGCCTTCATTATAATAATCTGGTTATCTGAACACCACCAGAAGTCGTAGCAGTAAGTTGGGGTGCTTCAGTCTCCCAATAATAATACCTTATGCGAACAGGCTTTCCCAAGGGAAGCCCCATTTGGATAAGTTTACCACCCAGCCCCCCGCCTTTCACGTGATATTTTCCCCGTATGCACTAGCATACTTCCTTCCCCAACGGGATTCCTTAATTTACTCCGAAGATCAATCATAATACCTTAAGAAACTTCCTACTCTCCCTATGGAGTTCTTTCCGGTGTCTAACACCATTAACATCGCCGTCATTAACGTACGATGGATAGTCTAAAAATATCCCAATATAGGGCTTTCGCTGTGATTTATGACCTCAATATGATTTGCATAACAAATACAAGGGTCGAAGTGCGCTTCGCGATTTTCAAAGGTAGGAGAAGCCATGCACTGACCCCGATATTCCTTGTTAATGACTGATTCTTTTGTAAGAAACCTGCTTACTTATTTTAACGCACGACCCAGTATTTTCATAATCCGTCCTTATAAGCGGTCTGATGATGTTAGTTGCAATTGCGCCGAATACACAATTCTAATTAGCGCCAGGCTGTTTTTCTATTTACTACAGTAAATTTACTGGGATATTTACTGCAGCAGACATACTTTTATATTATAACAGATGGGC